TCCCATCATCCAAGTACTGAGCATAGTACCCAATAGTTTTTCAACTCTTGCACCCCTTTCTCTCCCCTTTAGGAGTCTATAGTGTCTATTGTTGCCATCTTTATGCCCATGAGTACCACTATTTAGCTCCCATTTCTAAGTGAAAACACATGATATTTGGTGTTCTGTGCCTGTATATATTCCCTTAGGATAATGACCTCCAGTTGCATCCATGCTGTTACAAAGGACATGATTTCATTATTTTTTTATGGCTGTATATTCCATGGTGTATATGTTCCACATTTTCTTCATCTAAGCCACTGTTGACAGGCACCTAGGTTGATTTCATGTCTTTCCTATTCGGAATAGAGCTGCAATGAACATACCAGTGCATGTGTTTCTTGGTAAAATGATTTTTTTTGTTTATATCTAGTATTGGGATTGCTGGGTCGAATGACAGTTCTGTTTTAAGTTCTTTGCAAAATCTCCAAACTACTTCCCACAGGGGATGAACTAATTGACATTCCCACCAAGAAGGTACAAGTGGTCCCTTTTCTCAGCAGCCTCACCACCATCTGTTGTTTCTTGACTTTTTAATAACAGCCATTCTAACTGGTGTGAGAGGATATCTCATTGTGGTTTTGATTTTCGTTTTTCTGATAACTAGTGACGCCGAACATTTTTTCATATGTTATGTTTTTTAATAACATTTTCTTTTCTCTAGCTGACTGTATTGTCATAATAAAGGATATAATACTAATAACATTCAAAATATGTGTTAATTGGACTGTTTATGTTATTGGTAAGGCTTTTGGTAAACTGTTGGCCATTACTAGTTAAGTTTTTGGAGAATCAAAAGTTCTATGTGGATTTTCTGCTGCACGTGTGTTGGTCCCCTTCATTCCCACATTGTTCAGGGGTCAACTGTACTAGGAATGAACAATTGAAAATTGGATTAAAAATACCACTTAAATAGCACCAAAAACATGATATACTTAGGGATATATCTGACAAAGGATGTGAATGACTGTACACTAAAAACTACAGAACACTGATGAAGGACCTAAATAAATAGATAATGTTAATGAATTGGAAAACTCAAAATTGCTAAGATGTTGTTCTCCCCAGTTGATCTATAAATACAATACAATCCCAATCAAAATCCAGCAGACTTTTTGTACAAATTAATGAACTTATTCTAAAATGCATATGGTAATGTAGAAGACCTCCAATAGCAAAAGCAATATGAAAAAAAAAAAAACATTAGAGAGGTAACACTACCTCATTTACAGATTATTACACAGCTATAGTAATCATATATTTCACAAATAGATCAACAGAACAGAATACAAAGTCTAGAAATACATGCACAGATGTATGAACCACCAAGTTTTTACAAAGGTACAAAGGCAATGCAGTGGAGTAAAGGTTACGCTTTTCTACCGTTGAATATTCACACGCAAAAAAAACAAGAAAAGACCTCTGTGTCTTCTCACCACAAGTCTATAAACCCAGTTTTACCACGATGAAAACATCAGGCAAAACACACACTGACATTCTAGAGGAACATTCTACAGGACACCTGACCAGGCTGCTCAAAACTACCCAAGTCACTAACAACAAGGAGAGTCTGAGAAACTATCACAGGCTGGAGGAGACTAAGGAGACATGATGACTACATTTCAGGTGGTATCAATGGGATCCCATAAAAGAACAGGGAAATTAAGTAAAAATTAATGAAATCTGAAGGAAACAGACTTCAGCTTTTAGTTCATCATTATGTGTCAATGTCGGTGAATGAGTTGTGATGGATGTACCGTAGAAACATGAGATTTAACAATGGGGGAAACTGGACACAGGGTAGATGAGAATTCTCTAAACTATTTGTTGCAACCTTGCTATAACCCTATATTTATTCTACAATGAAGCATTTGTAAGAAAGGTCACTCAACAGACTGTGAGAAAATATTTGCAGGATCCCTGGGGATGCACATGATGAAGGATTCATCAGAGGCATGGTGAGAGCTGCTGGATGATCTCTGCAAATGGTTTTGGAGTCTGATGCTGGAGCTTAAGGACCCCAGGTGGGTCTTCTGTTGAAGAGACTATTCTTTCCCATTTGAATGATCCTGACACCCTTGTCAAAATTTGGTACCTAGTCAATTGGCCAAGGATGTATATGTTTGGGTTTATTTCTGAATTCTCCATTCTATTCCATTGGTCTGTATTGAAAGATGTTGTGTGAGACAATAAGGGGAAATTTAATTATGGACTGTAAATGAGATAATATTAAAGAACTTTTATTGTCTTAGATATGATAATGATACTGTGGCTATGTAACAAATTTTTCCTATTTTTTTAATATTAAATGAAGTATTCAGTGATGGAATGACATGCCAAGAATTTCTTATTAAAATGGCACAGATTGCTTTTTAAAAGTTTTCTTTAAAAAGACAGAATAAAACGACACATGAATTAGCACAGAAAAATAGTGAAAATGATTTAACCTAAGAATGGATAAGTGGGTGCTCATTACACTGAGTCTCTCCTTTGTGTATGTTTGAAAACTTTGAAAATAAAAACTTGATGTAAATGATGTTAGTGGGAGGCCTTAGTCTTGTCCACCAAAAGCTAACTTTGAATTTGGATCTTGGACTAGAGCCAGAATCTTAGAGCAATGGCGGAAGCACAGATCTTTTATTTATTTGCAACCATATCCCACCCCCAGAGCTGCACCTGCCATGGATGGTAGAGACGGAACCTGAATTCTTTTCACCTAAAACCAGTGATTAATTCTGTTGGAACTTAACAAAAATTCAAAAAGACTAGGAGTGAATTCCTCTTTTTCCCATTAAAACTATTTCAATGTTCTGCTGAATTATTTACACATCATTCATCAACACACACACATTAGACTGCTGAAATGTAAAAGAATGACCATACAGAATGATATAGTTTAGAAGTCTGTCCCCTCCAAATCTCACGTTGAAATTTGATCCCTGACATTGGAGATGGGGTCATCTGCCATCCTTGTTAAAGTATTTAGTTACATCTCTGGATGTAATTCTCTTGGATAGGCTCAAGGAGATTTTGTACAAGAGAGCATCAAGAAAATCCCCTGTGCAGGGTCTGGGACACTGCACACTAACACACCTGCACATACACAAACACGTACATGCACAAACACATACTCCATCATCAAGTAATGCTTCCTTCTCATCAGACAGATGAGACATAGATTCTGAATCCTGTTTCCCAGAAAGATGTAACCAACTGCATGCTTTTCCCAGATACATCCTGACCTCTGAAACAAGGAAGGAGCAATATGCAGTGTCCATCCTTTCGATGACAATTTACTTTTGTGGTTGGGCCATATCCAAGGCTCTTTGCCAGAAAGCCTTCTTTGAGTTCTGAATTCCTCTGTGAGAATTCTGCTGGCTTTACATGTATAGTCATAAATATATACATTAATATATATATAACCTTCCACAAGTATAAAAACTCTCATACATCCATATTCTTTAATAGACACATAAACACATTTATTTCATATCTCATAAAAGATATTTATAATCAAAATAAATGAAACCATATATAGTTTAATGTTTAATATTTTATAGATATCTCTCTATCATAGGTGATATAAAATCATACAGGTTTTTATATCTCTAAAGGCCTCTGGGTGACCCTGTGAGCCACAATGAACTCAGTGTGGGTTCAGGAAGTGGCAGGGCCTCACCCTCAGCCAAAGGGTGTGGGGTGCAGGCAACACATAAGTGGAGGTTGGTACTATAATTAATGGAGGGTAAAGGGGAGAAAAGTGCTTAGACAAGTCTAACCTCTTAGATTTCTGCCACTTGCATCTCCTGGCCTAGTCTTGTGAAGATCTGAAAGTCATGCTTAATTTTGAAAGGCCTGCAACTGTAGTCCTCCTGCTTTTTAGAAAGAGCATTATTTCACTTTCCCGTGAGTTGGCTGAACAGCCACTCTGTCGCCAAACATCTGCCGATATGTGAGAGAATATGACTGTGTTACCAAGTCTATTGAACCTTGTAAGAGGCCAGAACAATAGATAAATTGTATACTCTATCCCTAATAAAATAATATACTGAGATTAGACATTAGGTGTTTAATCTGGATTTAGCAACTATACATTTGCTAAGAATGTTATTCTGGTATTTGTCAAGGACTTTTCAATCACAAGTGACTGAATCCCTATTTAAACTGGCTACTCTCACAATATTACTCAATAGTGTTTTGGATGTATACGCTCCAGGAAAGCAAAATAAGTGGTATAAATATCAGAGAAGGGAATTCTTTGCAGATGACATTGTGTATTGTACATCTAATCTATACTACAAAATAATAAGAAAAGTTAGTAATGTGGCTGGATACAAGATACATATGCAAAAAACAAAACTTTAATTTCCCATAGTCAGCTAAACGTAGAAATGGAAAAATTGCCCTGTACCCAATAGTTTCAAAAATACTGAAATGCCAAGGAATAAATGTTAATAAGAAACATAAAATGCTTATATAGTGAAAAATTTTATTTATGTATATAAAACAAGATCTGAATAAATAGTGAGACATACATATTCATGAACAGGAAGACATAATAGCAAAAAGAGGCCAATCTTCAATTCAGGAAAATCCTGTCACCCTACATGTAGGGCTCTAGTCAACTAAGATAAAAGCAATAATATGGAAATATATTCATGTAAGGAAAGCATTAAAGAGTGTTTACATGGCCTTATTGCTAAAGGCAAAAAATGCAAAATGCCTAAATCTATATCAATATTAATTGGTTAAAAACTACATTCCATCCAAAGAAAAGTATTTTATGCAATTATTAATAGAACTTGTCAAAGCTGTCTGTACTGGTCTATAAAGGTATCTATAATTTATTGGCAAGTGAAAAATGCAAAGAAAAGAAGAATATGTCCAGCCCAATACTAGATTTTATTTTAACAAAATAGGTGTGAGAATTTACATTAAATATAGTACGTACATACTTTTTTAAAAAAATGAAAAGAATGTGCACAAAACTAAGAGCATTTCCTCTAGGGGGTCATACAGAATTAACAAAAGAGGGGAGTTTCATTTCTTACTGTGGTTTTTGGTACTTTTCTAAACATGGTACTTAAAAATGTAGGCTGCATATGATATACAATTTTATAAATTATAAATACATATCTTCAAGAAGGGCAGTTTTATAAAATTTGCTAACTGATAAGTACATGCACTGGCACAAAATAATTTGTTAAACTGGAAAGAAATCTGAAATGAAACAAATGAAAATGTCACATCACACTTCAGTAAAGAATCCTTTTTTAATTTCTAAAGCTGAAATATTCTTAATGTGCTAAAGGAGAGATGACTTACCATAGGCAATGGCTTTCCCTGATGGCAGTTGATACCACCAATGAACACCATGTTGGGCATCACGGGTTTGGGATAGTCCAAAACAAAGTCCGTTCGCAACAACCAAATTGATATTTGTCTGTGAAGATCATATACCGTGACAGGTGTTTGAAGAATTTCAGAGGCTATTTCTAGGGCACTTTTGAAAAAACGGTGGCATAATAAACGTTCCTCCAAGTGCATGATGTGGTTCCGTACTCTCTCCTTGAAAGTCATGGCATCTGAGAACCCTAAGAGAATTCTGGGGACATAGGAAAGAGGAGCAGGGCACTGCGCACCTTCTTCAAGATAGTGGCAAAATATTCCCCTGGCGAAGACCACAGAGGGGAGGGAGAAATATTTGGCAACAATTAAGCCACAGATATCAAAAGGATCCAGAAATACCGCATCAAAAGAACTCTCCTTTAAGTATTCCACTAACTTTTTGTCCTTAAACAAACTCCTGCACTTTGAAAAAAGTAAGTCAAAAATGTCATTGTATGAACCCATTATTAGAGAAAATATACTTTGTACTCGTGCTTCCCACTGAGCCTGGGCAAAAGCCTTGAACTCCTGGTCCAGAACCTCCAGAGTGTATGAAGTTGAGTAAGTCTTCACTGTGCAATTCAGTGGTCTTCCCAGTTGCCAACTCACCTCTGGCATGACTACCACCACCTCATGCCCCCTGAGAATTAGTTTCTCCACTACCGACCTCATGGTGAACCAGTGGCTCCCATCCACAGGCACTACCAGCAGCTTCCCTGCCTCAGCAAAGCCACAGGTCAGCAGCAGACACACACACAGGGGAAGGGTACTGGTCCACCCTGTGCGAGCCATCAGAGAACTGCAGCCGAATGCAAGCAGCTGGGATTCTAAGCTCCTATGATACAGTAGACGGGAGAATTACAAGCACAAAACCTGATCCCAATAGAGGGCATGTATTTATCCTTTCATTAAAAAAAAAAAAATCAGTCACTGACAATGATTTACTCAAAAGAACAAGAATACACAAGTAGCCTTTGCTGAGATACCTATTTTTATGTTTTCCAGACAAGAATAGCTTACGTTCTTTGCCTTGGGGGCAGAACATGCCCTGTGCTGCAATGTGAGTTTAGAAGTAGAATTATTAACCAATCCTTTTGGACCTTCAAGGTTCAGAAAGATAAAGTAAAAGTAAATTTGATTAAAGCTAAAGTTTTAGGAATTTGTCCCAAATTAAAATTTAGATTTTACCTTTAGGCAACCAAAAACTCTGTCCAGAAAAGATGGCAACTCATGCTCCAAGTAAAGAAAACAAGGACCTTAGCATTGATCTCCTAACCTCTTAACTTGGGGTTCGCCTGTGTCTCTGCAGTGTATACACATTGCTGCTTGTCTTCTTCCATTTCCAAACCCTGAGAAGTCTCTAAAATGCTGAAATGAGACTGACAACCCTGCCTCCATGGACCATACCAGGGACTTGATGGAAAGTAGTCATCACCTATTTTAATGGCTTTCCGAAGATACATTGCATGCAGTGCGGAGTTGCCCGCCCAGTCCTTGCGCGAGCACTCTGCTGAGCTGCCTCTCAGTGACTGGCCAACTTCCACATTCTAAACATGCCATTACTCCAGTGCCCTCTTTCAGGAAAATATATACTTGTCTCCCTCAGTCTGCTAAGCACTCCTTGAGGTCAGAGATGATGTCATCTTTGTGTTTTCACCCTCCTTTCACAGTACCCACGCTATGCCTTTGACATAGTTTATATGTTTGTATGTTTGGCTTTACAAACAGGACTGCCCCCATCCATAAACTTGCTAGCCCCCAAGCCTTGAAAGGAAAAGATTAATACCCGCTGCCAGTTTTTTTGTTGTACAAGAAGGCCTCGGCAAGAACACTTTTCTGGATTGGTTCTATCATTGCTTTGTCCCTGAAGTCAGGAAATATCTTGCCAGTGAGAGACTGTCTTTCAAAGTTCTTTTGTTTTGGACAATGCCCCTAGCCACCCAGAACCCACGAGTTCAACACTGAAGATATCAAAGTTATCTACCTGCTTCCAAACACAACATCTCTAATTCAGCAACAAAAGGTGGGGGACATGGTCTTTCGAGATATGAAACTGGGAGAAATTCAAGAACGAATAGACACCACACCGGAGGACTCAACAGAAGATGACTTGATGGAGATGAGTGCTTTTGAATGAGTACCAGATACTAAAGAAGCAGCCATACCAGAAAACAAATTCCTATTAAACAGTCTGGTAAAGGCTTCCAATTATTAAGATTACTTTTGACTTATTTTACAACACAAACCCTTCCATGAATGGGCACTGAAACTAAAGCAAATGGGGAAGAAGGATTAGTACTGCATAAAAGCATGTTCAAAGAATTGTAAAGGCAAAAAACTCAAATAATAATTATGATGTAATTCGGTAAAGTTACATCAAGTGTACCCGACTCTCCTCCTTCCATCTCCTCCACTTCTTCCCCCTCTGCCACCCCTGAAACAGCAAAACCAACACTCCTCTTCCTCCTTCTCAGCCTATTCAATGGAGGACAATCAATAGGAAGACCTTTATCAAGATCCACTCCCACTTAATGAATACTTAACTTTTTCTTCCTTAAGATTTTCTTAGTAACATTTTCTTTTGTCTAGCTGATTTTATTATAATAATACAGTATATAACACATATAACATACTAAATATGTGTCAAGAGACTGTTTCTGTTATTGGTAACACTTCTAATGTACAGCAGGCGATCAATAGTTAAATTTTTAGGGAGTCAAAAATTCTGTGTGCCAGGCGTGGTGGCTCACACCTGTAGTCCACGCACTTTGGGAGGCCAAGGTGGGTGTATCACTGGAGGCCAGGAGTTGGAGACCAGCCTGGCCAACATGGTGAAACCCTGTCTCTACTAAAAATGCAAAAAATTAGCTGCGTGTGGTGGTGCATGCCTTTAATCCCAGCTACTCCGGAGGCTGAGGCAGGAGAATCACTTGAACCTGGGAGATGGAGGTTGCATTGAGCTGAGATCACGCCACTGTACTCTAACCTTGGCAAAAGAGCGCGACTCTGTCTCAAAAATAAAAAACAAAAAGAAACCCAAAAAACCCTTCTATGCTAATTTTCTACTGCTTGGGGGTCGGTACCTCAATCCTCGCATTCTTCAAGGGTCAAATGTACTAGCAATGAACAGTTGAAAATTGGAATGAAAACAGCACCTAAATAGCATCAAAAATAAAAAATACAAAGAGATAAATCTGGCAAAAGATGTGAAAGACTGTACACCGAAAATGACAAAACATTGGTGAGAGACCTGAATAAATAGATATGTTCATGAATCAGAAAACTCAAAATCGTTAAAATGTCATTTTTCTTTAGTTGATCTATAAATTTAATACGACCCCAATCTAAATTCCAGCAGGCTATCTTTTTGTACAAACTGGCAAACTGATTCTGAAATTCATATGGAAATGTAAAAGACCTACCATAACAAAAATGGAGAGCAATTATTACCTAATGTCAAGACTTATTACAAGTATATAGTACTCAAATATTTCACTAACAGATCGTTGGAACAGAATAGAATACCCAGAAATAGAAGCATGAGCAACCAAGTTTTTTCAAAGGTGCAAAGGCAAGTCTGTGAGGAAAAGATGACTCTTCAACAGTTGGGTATCCATTCGCAAGACAGTGGGAAAAGACATTACCCTGTGGTCTTCCTCCTAAAAACCTGTAACCTGTGTTACCATGATCAAAACATTAGACAAATTCAAACTGAGGAACGTTCTATTGAATACCTCCACTGGAATTGCTAAAAACTGACAAAGTAATCAAAACCAAGGAAACTCTGAAAAACTGTCACAGGCTAGAGAAGATGAAACAAATGTGATGAGTAAATGTCATGTGGTATCCTGGATGGGATCCCAGAAAAGAAGAAGGACATTAGGTAAAAATTAATGACATCTGAAGAAAACACAGACTTTGGTTCATTGTAATGTGTCAGTGTTGGTTAATGAGTTGTGATAAATGTGCATAGGCGCTGGAGAGGATGTTGGTGGGATTGTAAACTAGTTCAACAATTGTGGAAGACAGTGTGGCGATTCCTCAAGGGCCTAGAACTACAAATACCATTTGACCCAGTGATCCCATTACTGGGTATATACCCAAAGGATTATAAATCATGGTACTATAAAGACATATGCACACATATGTTTATTGTGGCACTATTCACAATAGCAAAGACTTGGAACCAACCCAAATGTCCATCAATGATAGACTGGATTAAGAAAATGTGGCACATACACACCATGGAATACTATGCAGCCATAAAAAAGGATGAGTTCATGTCCTTTGTAGTAACATGGATGAAGCTGGAAACCATCATTCTCAACAAGCTATCGCAAGGACAGAAAACAAAACATTGCATGTTCTCACTCGTCGGGGGGAAATGAACAGTAAGAACACTTGGACACAGGAAGGGAAACATCACACACCAGTGCCTGTCGTGAGTTGGCAGGATGGCGGAGGGATAGCATTAGGAGAAATACCTAATGTAAATGATGAGTTAACGGGTGCAGCAAACCAACACAGCACATGTATACATATGTAACAAACCTGCACATTGTGCACAGGTACCCTAGAACTTAAAGTATAATTTTTAAAAATGTGCATAGTAACCTAACATTTAGCGATAGGCGAAACTGGCAAAAGATATTTGGGAATTCTCACTGCAATTTTTTGCACCCTTGCTTTAAATCTAATTTTATTGTAAATTTTAAAAAAGACATCTACAGACAGGTAAATGATAAATATCCAGAATATAAATAATCTTTAAAATTCAATTTTAAAAAATGTTTTTTAATGAGCAAAGATTTGAACAGAGAGTAATCCAAGAAGGTACACAGATGGCAGACAGACACATGTAAAGACGTTCAAGATAACTAATGATTAGGGTGATCAAACTGAGGTTTAATCCACATCCCATTAAAAGAGCTGCAATGAAAAAGACTGACCATATCAAATGATACAGTTGAGTTATCTGTCCCTACAAAATCAAGTGTTGAAATTTGATCTCTAATGTTGGAAGTGGGGCTTAGTGGGAGGTGTTTGGATGGATCCCTGATGAATGACCTAGTGCCCCCTCCCAGTAATGAGTGAACTTTCCATCTATTAGTTTCAGCAAGAACTGATTGTTAAAAAGAGCCTGGCACCTGCCTCCTTCTTCTCTTGCTTCTCTCTCCATGTGATCAGCACCCTCCACCCTCACCTTCTGCCATGAGTGGAAATAGCCTGAGCCTCTCACCTGATGTGGAAGCTGGTGCCATGCTTCTTGTACTGCCTGAATGAACCACAAGCCAAATAAACATGTTTTCTTTATAAATTAACCAACCTCAGATATTCCTTTATCGCAATACAAACGGACTAAGACATCAAGTGTTGGTGAGTGTGAAGAGCTGGACCTCTCATATGCTGGTGGTGGGAGGACACCTTGGTCTGGCCGCTTGTAAATATCGTTTAGCAAATTCTCAAAAAGGTAAACATACACCTACCATAGATCACAGCTATTCCACTGTTGGGTATTTATCCATAAGAATAAAATACTTCCTGTATTGTGTGTATTTTAAAATTTTCTGTATATTTTCGCATCTTAAAAATCCCCATCTGGTAGGGATGCAGTGCACCTCCCTGGGCCAGCCAATTATTAGAGACAGCAAAGAGCCTGCCCTTAGAGCTCAGAGCCCACTGAAATTATTCAAACCAACCAGTGCTAAACTGTTTCCCCTGCCCTGCCTCGCCTTTCTTGCAGAAACTTCAGTAGAGCTATGGTCTAGCCTCTACCCTCACTCCTATTCTTTCTGCCTCCTATATTTCAAGTAAAACAGTGTACA